TAGCTCTTCTTTCTAATAACATTTGTCGTCGTTGAGCAACATCGTCTGCAGCATAATGTTCTCCCTCTATCAACTTCCCAGCAAACTCATCTAATACTTTGATCTTTTCTTCTTGAGCTGCCAATGACTTGTCAAAATCTTCGTGTTTCTTTATAAGAGCCTCTACACTGTCAAGAGAATCGCCCAAGTCTTCGTTAGCTAAAAATGCCTCTTGCTTTGCCATCCAAGCATCAGCCTGTTCTGTATCTCTATAGAATAATTGTAAATCCATACACTGTTCGTACAAAATACGTCGTTTCTCCCATAAACTAAGAAGAGACGCTTTATCTTCTGCAAGAGACTCTAATTTACGAGCTACTTCTTCAGCTGCATAATGTTTTTTCTCCAAAAGTTTATTGCCAGCCATAATTGTAGAATCGAAACTATCTGCTCTGGCATCTATTTCTCCTTTGTGTTCTTGATGTCTCTCTAAAAGGGCTTCAGCCCCAGCCACATCTTTAGCAAGTTCATCCGCAGAAATAATTGCACGCATATCATTCATCCAAGAAACTAAATCTCTATAATCAGCCAAAAAACGATGTAAATAATACGATTCGTCGAGTTTCAAACGTCTTTCTTTGGCTTTTGCCGTTAGACTTTCCCAAGATTGAAGGATTTCTGCTCGTTTAGCTTGTATTTGTTTTGAATGGTCTGCTTGGTGAATAGCTGCCAGACGATCTGCTTCTGCTCCTAATGTATACACCTTATCTTCTAAAGCTGCAAGATCACGTTCTATACCCTCATGTTTGCGCTGAAGTGTTTGCACACTGGCAAGATCACGTCCAAAGTCATCAGAAGATAATACAACATCTTTTTCGGCAATCCAAGCCATTGTCTCATCGGCATCTCGATTAAATCTTTGAATCTCATGTGCCCCAAATAATTTCTCTTGTCTAAGGATAGCAAGTTGTTTCAATCTTTGCCATGATTCATTTAATTCCTCTTTTCTACGTAAAATGGTATCACGTTCTGGATGACCATCTAAAAGAAGTTTGTCTGCGATTTCATTGACTTCTGTTACTCTGTACTCTTGACTTGCCATATCTTTCTGAAATTCATCAAATTTCCTTTGCAATACTTCAACATGTTCTAGATCATGACCAAATTCATCAGTAGTCACAAATGCCTCTTTATCATGGATCCAAAACATGACTTCATCACAGTGTCGTATAAATTGTACAAGAACTAAAGCCTGCTGTAATTTCAGCCCTTTATCAGCCAATCGTGACAATAATAATTCCCACAAGCTATGAAGTTCCTCTGTAAAATTAAACATACATACGAATATATACTATATAGAAGTATAAATATAACAAATAAGATATAACCAATAATGATTCATAATAAAAAAAATCGTCTATGTTTACCTAATCTTTTACGAATGACATCACTAGCAAAGTGATGTTGCGCTATCATCTCAGAACCGGTATTATCGAGTAATACAATGGCATTGGAGTGAGCAGCAACTTCTGCTTCGAATGCTTGATGCTTCTGAATTTTGGCTTGCAAATTTGTCGGATCTTTGTAGCTTTCATCTGATGCTGCTTGCAACTTTTCGTAAATCCATCCCTCGAGTTCATCCGCATCTCGCTTAAAATACTAAAGCAAAAAATGATCGTTAAGGGAAGAAAAAAAAGAACCGATGCAATTTATTTATTATATTATACGATAGAAAAGTAAATATAAATCAACTGAAATATCATATTACTTGAAAGCGACGGGAGTCCTCGAGTTTATCTCGTTTATTACGAGCTTCAGCTTTGAAATTAGCATATCTTCCAAGAACTTGTTCACGTCGTTCTTGAATATCTTCTGGATTTTCCAGAATTTTCACCTCCTTCGGTGTTATCTGATCCATCATTGAAAATTCTTTATATCGAACGTCTTTAATGAATATCCACTTGCGGCCAAGATGGCCGAGGGGTGTGGCTGGTCGATTGTTCTTTTAAAAATCAAGAATTCGCTTATCTGAAACTATAACAATGTTTAACAATATACGTTCAACTAAAACTTTTATATCTTTTATTTAACAAATTTCTACGACTCATAAATAAACTCGACTAAAAATACACACTTTCTTCGTGCGCTCCAATAACTCGCTTAGATCCGTTACTAACGCGCTCTCTCTGCACAGTGACGTTTCGAGGAACACGTAACGGTGCGGCTGATACGTGATTGGTCGATTTATTTCGTACTGTATTCAACCAACCTTACCTTAGCTCAATAGGTCAAATTCACATTGGTTGAATTTCTTTATAGATATATATATACAATGTATATAATGGGATACATACAAGCATGTAATCATGATTATGACGTTACGTTTATCTTCGAAACTTACGTCATCTAGCTATATATGGCATTTTCGAAATAAGTAGGTAGGTAGTATTTATTTGATAATATTAAGTAATTGGATAATTTTTGATCCTTATTTTTATCAAAGAAAAGTTTTCTAGAACATGATTTTTGGAAATATTTAATATATTATGATAAAGGATACTAGTTATAATAATTCTATCTTAAATAGATTTATAGAAATATTTCTTAAATTTAAATTCCAATGGGTAAATTAAATAATCTAATAGAATATTTTTACGTTATGGTACAATAATCTTTTATTAAATTTCACCTACAAACAACGAATCACAGAACGTTACATTAGAGTTCCTTACATCAATCCATCGTGTCTTCATATATTTTACAGGTAAATAATTATATATTTATCCCTATTACAATAAAGTCTTATTCGTTAAAATATCTTGTAGCGTAGTCAATCATTATGTGTATATATAAATTTAATTCACCTAAAAATATGATTTTTTGTTGTAGTGTTCATTCATCGTTTATAAGTGTCTGCTATCATGTATACAAGTGGTACATTAGGTATAGGTACTTGCTTTTGTCCATTGTACTCTGATATTTTTTTTCTTAATTTTTGTATGAATATTCATATATATTCTCAATGGTTCCGTATTATATAGAAAAATTATTATTTCAAAAATCTTCATATGTCAAAAGACTTTTTTCATCGACAAAAATCTAAAACTCTACTCCACCAAACGAGGATAGGGCTAACATTTTTTCTTTCTTTTTTTTTTTTCTTCTCCTTTTTTTTTTAAGTACCTGGACAAAGTGATGGTATTACAATATAAATCACTAAAAGTTTTATGTTTTTTCTTCTTTTTTTTTTCATTTTTTTCATTTTTTTTTTTTTTTTTTTTTTTTTTTTTTTTGTTAAAAGGCAACATGTCTTTGTTAATACAAGAAGGCAATTTGCTTTGTATCATCGGTATATCCGGCGTCCCCAAGACATTTATGATTTTAACGATACTGAATATATTTTTAAGTGGCAAATGTAAGGGACCATTTTACAGGCATTATTGGCAGCACTGGATCACTTTGTGTGTGTGTGTGTATTATTCACTGTATTCACTTCTTGAAAATATTCCAACATTATATTGTTAATTAGCTGTAGTCTAAGAGCATTTATGTCTCTTAAGTTAAAACATACTCTCTGATTTTTACATATTATTTCACTTCGCATTGTCTTCCGCAGTCACGAAGAATAATAACTAGCATATACGTTTTTTTGTTGTTTTTTTTTTCTTTCGTAAGTATATCCTCAACGAATCCTTATGTACAAAACTTAGATATACAGAATACACTTGCACTCGTACGTACTTCGCCATCGTGGGGCGTCAATAAATTAAATTTTTATTTTCTAAATTATTATTATTATTATTATTATTATTATTATTATTATTATTATTATTATTATTAATATTATTATTTACTTACTATTATTATTATTATTTACTTACTATTATTATTATTATTATAATTATTATTATTATAATTATTATTATTATTATTATAATTATTATTACTATTGTTATTATTATTAATATTATATTCTTATTATACATCCCCCTCCCCGAACTTTAGAAAGGTTTCTCTACGTTACAAAAGTACGATGTCTTCGATACAAATGAGTATGAAAAAATCGACGAGTGTGCGTTAATTAGCTACGATCGAACTTTCATCGAATATAATCGAAAATTACGTTCGATGCGAGTTGCAAATTCCAGTATAAAAAGAAAACGTATATAATGTATATGATATATATACATATATATATATATATATATATATATATATATATATATATATATATATGTAAATACATATATATATTTCCATACACATATATATATATTTATATATGAAAAAATTGGAAACGCTTCGTTAATTAATTCGAGACATCGTACGAGACGGTCGAGCCTCCTTCTCCTCTTCCTCCTCTTCGCAATTACATCCCCCCCCACCCTTTTTCCTATCCTAACACACATTTTGACGCGACGGAAAATCGTCTCATAGACACATTAAACACTTCCTCCTCTTTTCCCTCCCCCTCGCCACTGATTTGCTCTACATAACATACAATATATATATTCATATAATATATATAATATTCAATAATATTTATATATATTTATATATTTATATTTATATTTATATGTACTTAAGATATATATATATATATGTATATATATATATATATATATATACTTTTTTTTCGTTCTATATATATACAGCGATATATGTCTGTCTCAATAATATTTTATGAATTAGTAACACTAGGTTGCTAAATAATAACATTCTTGGACCTCATTTGTATATAGCCAGCACCTTACGTTGTTGAACCTTCAACTCGAACGGAAGAGTCATCCCTTCTGTTATATTTAAAAAAATATAAAGTGTAACCATTCCTTCACTCCCTCCTTTACTCTTCTCCTCTCCTCTCTTCTCTCTCTCTCTCTCTCTCTCTCTCTCTTTCTCTCCTCCCTGAGCTCGTTCCGCAAAATTCTTTTAAAACGGACACATTCTCCATTCTCAAGGGAAACTCTTTTTTCCGCTCCCTCTTCACCCCTTTTCTCTCTCTCTCTCTCTTTCTCTCTCTCTCTTCTCTATTTCTCTCGCGTCCCTTTCACTCTCTTTCTCTCTTTCTCTTTCTCTCTCACTCTTTCACTCTCCCTCCTTCTCTATTTCTCTATTTCTTTCTACTTTCCAAGTCTCGTCACAGCCCTCATTTCGTTTCGCATTAAAACTTTTCAGGTTTTTATTAAACGTTTCTTCGTCACGCCACATATAACAATTTTCTAGATAACATACATAATCATCTAATATACAATAAATAATTTATCGCGTTTATCCCCAATGTACAATTTTCGCTTAAACTTTTTCTTTCTCTCTGTCTCTCTCTCCCTACCTCTTTATCCTTTCTCTCTCGCTTTATACTTTATAGGTTAAGTAATTCGTCCACAATGATCCATCTTCTTTCTTCTTCTTTCTTTTTTCTTCCTTTCTTTCTTCTTCTTTCTTTTTTTTTCTTTTCTTTTCTTTTCTTTGCTCTCTTTCGATAAAATACAATTAGTAATGTCTGCCCCGTAAATATAAGAACTAAATTTTGTACAAATTTGTAAACGAGCCCGAAGCACGCATAAACGCATGTGTACGCTTGTAATGTGTGTATATATATATATATATATATATATATATATACACGATCTAGCATATAGCGGCGAACTTAGGATCTCTTCGTGGACGTTAATAATTAGATTGATTTTTTTTCTTTCTTACTTTCTATCTCTTTTTTTTTCTTTCTTTCTCTTCGACTATTCTAGCACACAATATATATATATATACACATATATATATGTATATATATATATATGTACATATTCTATATACCTTCGTAACCCAGAACAAACCACAGACAGCAGACAGCAGACATACACGCATACACATCTCATCATACATACGTGGACGCAAGTAAGCACGCACGCACGCACACAGCCAAGAACAATGTGTATGTATTGTTTTAACAAAGGAGGAGACGAAGCACGAGTAGAGAGAAACTCCTTCGCTTATTTTGGAAAAAATGGATTATTTTTTCCCCCGATCGTTCCTTAAAATTATTCATCAATTGCGATAATTATCGCGAGTTTCATCGACCCGGTAAACGGGTATGAAATAGAAACAGTATGTTCGAGTCAGAGAGGGCGAGCTCTTACACGATTTGTAGGATGTGCGGCGGCAGGTTGTCGTTGAGACGACTCAGCATAAATGATCGTCGGCGTTCTCAACGACGATGATCTTTTAAGAAAATTCAAGTTTTCAATGTAGCGGTAACCACCTCCTCCTCCTCCTCCTCCTCTTTCTCCTCCTCCTCCTCTTCCTCCTCTTCCTCCTCCTTCAGCTCTTTCTCGTGCTCGCGCATAATGCTCCTCCCTCAGGGAACAACAAAGAGACCTATCTCACGCGCCCGTACAATCGATCTCTATTATGTCCTTCGGTACGTCAACGAATTGATACACCAATCTCTGGCCGTCGACCTTAGCCAAAATGCCACGTTGATAATAGTATCTCAAGGCGCGACCCATCGTCTCGTAATTCATGTCGGGCTTATTCTTGTGCAAACCCCAGAGTCTTGATACCGCCTTGCTATCGACCAATTTAAATACTCCTCTCTCGCGATTCGTCCACTTTATATATCGCGGACAATACTCTCGATCCTGCAACAATTTCAACAGAAATTCCCAGAGATATGTCGTCGAGCCTTCTCGCGATTTCCTCTTAACCGTCGCTCCCTCCCCCTGACGTGGCTTCTTCAACTTGTTCTTCTTTGAACGCGGCGGAAAACCAAGTTCCAGAAGATAAAGATCGTCCGATACCGAACTCGTCGCTGCTTGTATTACACTAGTCGGTACTCCACCAGGTCCTCTTGGCGGGCTTGGTGTACATGGTGTAGCGAATTGTCCTCCTCCGCCATACATCGAGTTTACATAACTGCTATAGCTCTCGGACACTGTAACGAGAGAAAAAAAAAAGACAAATGTTCATTTAATCTTTCTACCAAAATGCAAATAGATAAAAATAAAAAAAAAAAAAAAAACAGAGAGAAAGGAAAAAAAAAACCTTATAGAAATTTCCTACGTTCGAAATTCAAACTTTTTATCCGCAGATAATACGAAGTAGTACGCTATAGCTTTGCTAGATAGCGCCACGCTATGAAGATTTATAAATGAAAATTTTCAAAATCGTTTCATTTCATTTTATCACGACAACGGACTCCACGTAAGTCGAGAAATATCTTATTCCAAAATATCGTCATTATATTTCAAGGCCAATCGACTTTCTTTCATTCTCTTTCTTTCTCTTTTTATCTCTCTTTCTTCGTCTCTTTTCATAACTACGAGGCTACAGAAATATTGTTAGAATCATATTACGATCTATAATTTCTATCGGTTTATTTCTAACCCCCAAACCTTAAACGCGAAATCTTCTTTATCGGCTCGATTTATCGTAAGGAGTCAATTTAACAAGGCATTCGTAGAGTCAGTTTTCGCGCCACGACTCGGATATACATATGGTCGCGGTTCAACGTGCAACGAAACACTATTAATAGCCCTACTCTCCACGGACACGATCGTCGCCGACGGCGACGGCGGTGTCCTGCCGTCGTTTTCTGTCGCCGGATGATCGATGTTTCGAGAACGCGTTGGCCGGGCTCGATAACGGAGCCCCTTTTTCCTGTTTACTCCCCCATCGATCTCCCCCCGCATTCTCTCTTCTGCATGTTTCTCTTTTTCTTTCTTTCTTTCTCTCTCTCTCTCTCTCTCTCTCTCTCTCTCTCTCTCTCTCTCTCTCTCTCTCTCTCTCTCTCTCTCTCTCTCTCTCTCTCTCTGGCTGTTGTGTCTATCTGTCTCTTACTCGTACAATGATTATTCATCTCTCTCTAAAGCAGCACGAACAAAACGACTGTTCTCGAATAAGAGGAAGGGAAGGAGGAAGAGGAGGAGATGGAGGAGGAGACGAGGGAATGTAGAAGGAACGCGGATGAAGGGGAAGGAGGAACGAAAAGTCGAATTCACGATCCGTAGACGACGGAAACATCGTTTATGGCCGCGTGCCGGTTCGATCGCGAGCGATGTCAGGGTGTTGCTTGTCTCTCGTCGATCGTCTTCGTTCGGTGCACCCGTACCAGCGATACGAGTTATACTCGTCGCACGATTTGTCTTCTGCCGAGAGAGAGAAAGAAAGAGAGAGAGAATGAGAAAAACAGAAAGAGAGAGAGAGAGAGAGCGAAGAAAAAGGAACATGTAGAAGAGAAGAAAACGAAATATACAAGAGAGAAAGAAAAAGAGAGAAAGAATAGAGGCGTGGCGTCAGGAACGTACGCAGAAGAATGAGAACACGCACAAAAAATTGTTTACTCTTTTGATTTCTATAATCTTGACTTTGAAACGTTCGTTCGTTTCATTCGTTCAATCGACAGGATTTGCTAATGTGAAATCAAACGAAGCATCGAACGACGACGACTAACTGTATTACTCATTTCTCTCTTTTTTTCTCCCTCTTTCTTCTTTCTTCTCTCTCTGTCTCTCTCTCTCTCTTTCTCTCATTCTCGGCGTTCTTATATATTTTTTACATGACAAGCAAGGTTACCGCGAATAGGAAACGTTTTATACATACGCCACTGACCGCGTGTGGTCAGTACTTTTATATGTATGCGTGATGTGTATAGCTCGACGAAGAGAAGGAGGGTAAGAAGTTAGACGCACGGATAAGGAGTCAAGGGAGAAGAGAGAAAGAGAGAGTGTATGAGAGAGAGAGAAAGAGTGAGAGAGAGGAGAGAGAAGTGGAGGGAAAGGAGCGATGCATGGAAGGAGAAAAGAGACCGAAGAGTGGAAAAGGAAGAGAAGAGAAGAAAAGAGGAGAGAAGAGAAGTGGAGAAGAGAGGAAAGGAAAGGAAAGGAAAGGAAAGGAAAGGAAAGGAGAGGAGAAGAGAGGAAAGGAGAGAACGAGAAAGAGAGCGGATTCTGCCTGCAGTAGTATGATAGAGGACTGACCCGAGCCAAGGTTGCACGGGTGACGCCATCAAGCGGCTACTAGTGCATAATAGCGCCGCGACTGCGCTAAAATCGGAACTCCGTGCCTTCCCTCCTCTCCCCGCCCCTTTCATCCTGCATCGCCACCACCACACCACTTCTCTTCCCCCTCGCTTAACGCTCCTCCCTACCAGCCATCCCACTGTTCCCTCGTTCGTCCACGGTGTTTCTCCTCGTTCCTTCCCTTCTCTTCCCTTCTCGCCCTTTCCTCCTATCCCCTTGGCCCTCCCTCAACCCTCACCAATCCCATCTCGCTCTCACCGTCTCACTCTCATTGCAGTTCCTTGGGGGCTCGCGCGCTTTCGCTGTTTGTCGAATGATTCCTTCGACTTTATTCGTGAAACCTCGCTCTTTCTGACTTCCGAGCCTCCCTAGAGAGAAAGAGAGAAAATACGAAGAGAAGAAAGAAAGAAAGCAAGAAAGAAAGAGAGAGAGAGAGAGAGAGAAAGAAAGAGGGAGAAAGGATGGGATAAACGTAGAGAAAATACAAAGATAGAGCAGAAGGGGATTTGGATTTTCGAGGTGGTTCTAAAAATAAAGAGAACGTTCCGTTGTTCTCTCTCGAGCTATGCGAACATATATATATATATATGTATATATTACTATATGTATGCATGTCGTGAGAAAGAGAAAGAGAGAGAGAGAGAAAGAGAGAATGATTCTCGAAGCGAGAAAGAAGAGTGACGAGAAAACGGAATGAGAATAAGAAAGAGAAAAAGAGAGAGAGAGAGAGACAGAGAGAGGGAGAGAGAGAGAGACAGCTGAAGCGGACTGTGTTTACGCGCGGTATGACTGGCTAGATGAGTCAATCTCGTAGACCCGTTGTCTAGGAGCCTTCAAGTGGGGGAAATACTACTTCACTGACCTATACCACAGAGAGGTAGAGAGAGAGAGAGAGAGAGAGAGAAAGATAGAGAGGAGAGAGAAAAGAGAGAAAGAGAGAGAGATAGAAGAGAGAGAGGAGAGAGAAAAGAGATGGACGAGGAGGAACGTACGACGTGCGAACGCGATTTAACTTTTTCGAAGACGAACGTACGCTTAATGAGCAATGTGACGCATCTATTTACATGCATATATATATATATATATACATATGTATGTATGTATGTATATTAAAAGAATCTATTATTTAATCATCGAGGAAGTTCGATTTACGTACGTTCTATATCGAGTTTCCTCTATCATCGTCACAGTGGCAGAGCTATATTATTTCGGCATTCCGCATTCCGTCGTTTGGCACACAAATCAGAATATGCATCTGTCTCTTAAAAACGCATTGAGTCAAAAGAAACTAAAACTAACTGAGAGGAAAATGATGATTACGCGTATGCGTGGAAGGAAAAAGAAGAAGAAAAAGAAGAAGGGAGTGTTACAGATGCGGATGGAAGGTATCGATGATAGTCTATTGTAGGTGAGGAAGAGAAGAAGAAGAAGAAGAAGAAGAAGAAGAAAGAGGAAGAAGAGGATGAGGATGAGGATGAGGAAAAGGAGGAGGCGGTAGGAGAATAGCCGAAAGTATTCGACGACGGTATAAACAAAGCGATCATGGATCACGGATCCCGCGAGCTGCTGTAGTCTCGTAGAGCGAGGCGTGCAGTAACATATAGCGGTGCATATACAGTGGAGGAGGAGGAGGAGGAAGAGGAAGAGAGGGAAGAGAGGAGATGGAGGGAAGTAGGATAAAGATGGGCCATGGCGGTGTGCGTCGGTGCAAGGGACGAGAGGGTGGAAGCGGGAGATGCGGCGGCGGCGGCAGCGACGACGGCGGCGGTGGCGGCGGCGGAGGAAGAAGAAGAGGTGGTGGTGGAGGAGGAGGAGGTCGAGAGAAGGGGAGAGTTGACCTTCAGCTGCGCCGGGAAAGTCAGGCAGTCACTGACCGACAGACTAACTTAACTGCTCTATCCTTCTCCTCCTTCTCTCTTCTCTCCACCTCCATTCGCGAGCGGCTAGTCCGATGCACCGTGCCACCACCACGCACATACATAACACATATGTGAATATATATATATATGTATAGACGTATACACACGGAGCAAGAGACACACGACTAACTCCAGTGTTCACGGACGCCGACGACGCGACAAGCCGTTCCTCCTCCTCCTCCCCTTTTTCTCTTCTCGACTACCTCCATCTCCTTCTTCTTCTTCACCTCTTTGCCCCTCTACTCTCCTTACTACATCTCGTCGTCAACGTCCTCATGTCTTCGTCGTCTTCTTCGCTCTTTGCCAATGCTCTTCTCTCTCTCTCTCTCCCTCTCTCTCTCTCTCTCTCTCTCTCTCTTTCTCTCTCTCTTTCTTTCTCTTTCTTCTTCTTTTTATTTTCTTCTTGCCTTTTGCCTACCCTTGCTCCTCTGTCTCTCTCTCTCCCTCACTCTCCTCTCTCTCACTCACTCACTCACTCTCTTCCTCCCTTTCTTTCTTTCCTTCTGTCTTCCTTCCTTCCTTTCTTTCTTTCGTTCTAGACCTAAAGTAGCCCTTCCTCTTTTGCTCCTCCTTCCCTACTCTCTCAGCCTATTATGTTACCCCATTGCCTTGAGCTACTACTATCTTTAACCCCCCGACACTCGTTGAAAATCGTCAACTCTCTTACACTCGAGCATATATATGTATCTATATATGTATATATGTATGTATGTATGTGTTAGGTATGTATGTGCTGTGTATATGGACGTATGTATGTATGTTTATGTATGTGTTATGTATGTTTCTTACTCTCACTCTTCCCTTTCTTCCTTCCACCACCCTACTGAAATAAAGAAGCAGAAAAAGAAATGAAGAGAGTGAGGGGGGAGGGAGGGAGGGAAAGAAATAGACAAATGCGGAAAAAGAAGAAACAAAATTGGCAGATTTCCATGTTGAGATACGTCGAAAATCAAAATTTCGAAAGGAAGCTTAACTTATCCGTTTTCAGTGTATTT